AAAAGGTTTATGCTGCACTATTGACCCTTCACAACCCTTTTTGCCATATTTAGCTTTGCTCATGAAGAAGTGTGAGCTGAAATATAGTCCAGAATATGGCATTTAAATTTTAAATGACAATACTTGTCTAAAGCAAAATAAATATTAAATCCTTATAGACAAAATGAATGTAAAAAAAAGTTTACATGGAGAATGTTGATGTCGATACTTTGTTACTTTTTATTTTTACTACATATTGACAGTCTGTAATGGTTTATATTATTGCTACACATTGACACCTTAATGTTTAATACTGGAGGAATAATACTACATTATAAATAATCGGTTCCATAAAATTCACTTATAATGATGAATATATTCGAAATAATGACTCATATAATATAAACCCTAACAACTAAAAAATTTTAACATAAAAAATTCAATCAGAAGGAATAAACAGCGACTCACATGTTAAACTGGTCAAACCCTCGCTTCTGCCAAGCAAGTGTCAAAACAGCGCAGGACCACATTCCTGTACGGGACTTGCACGGAAAATGTTTTGAGATATTTTTCCGCGCACATGGTGCCTGGCTCAAGCTATGAGGGTGTTTTCTGCAAAGAAATATAAAAAAGGATAAAAAAGTATTTATTTAGCTTATCAACTTTTTTGAGATTTTCTGCAATAAATAGAGGGTATTAAATGAACGCATATTCAAAACTCTTAAATTTTGGTTAGAATTACTTGCACCATTTAAGCCGGTGCTAGGGGGCGTGGATGTGGGTTTTTTGCACTTGAGAGTACTGTTAATGATATTCTGTTGTTTGTTTTAAAGAAACGAACAAACAGTCTCATTATCAATGCCATGACTTATATAACATTGACTGAATTCATACCTGTTCTTTCCTGCATGCTGAATTTAATTCATATGACTTGATTTCTTCTCATGTTGTTTTGATGGTTCCTCCTCCACATCCGACCAGTCATTGTCATTCAATTCAGTATTGAGTAGCATCCTGCAGTAGTAAAAATAATGTCTATAACACACATTATACCTTTTTATCTTAGAACATGGAAAATTCAAAGGTAAAGTAACTGTCACCTTTACTCATGTTCAAATGTAATAATAATATAATTTAGTAATAAACTTTTTATAGATCCACTCCTCGCTACCTATCAAATCCTAGATATATCAAACTCCATTTAAATGTCATTGAGCACTCATGTTTGAAGTGCTTTACACACATGTTTATAGCCTGTGCACTGGAGCGTGACATAGCAATTGCAAATTGACAGTGCTAAAAATAGCTTTACACAACTGATCAGAATTACAAACTGGTGTCAGTTATTAATTTCAAGTATATATATATATGAAGGTTCTAATGTACAACTTTACCTAGAGCTCATTATATGTTATAATATAATATGATATAAAAATTGAAGATCATTTAATATTATTAACAGAATCAACAAACCAGCATTAATGCTTTCCTGAAAATTGGATTCCTCACATTCACTCAGGAGCTTTAATTTACTATCCCATTCAAACTGAATCTCAAATGCTATATTCGCAAACAGACAGCTCAATTTTATTTGAAAAATGAAATCAATTACATTGAAAACAAGCATTTGATGTAGTTGCGGGGCAAATAGCGTGTTTACCGGTCCCCCCTCAAAAAGTTCTTTAATTGTCTTTAACCCCCCTTTGTTTTCCCAAATTTAAAATAATAAATTTTTGAGGATGAAGTCGGGTTTTAAAATTCAACAAAAAACAAAAAATTTTTGTTTTAAAATTGTTTGTTTTATTTTGGTGGGTTTGTTTTTTTTTTTTATTTACGATTTTTGGGATTTTAAAGAAAATCCTATGGAAAAAGAAGTTGGAGTAAATTTTTTTTAAGTTTCCCCAAAAAAAATTAAAAGTTAAAGGGGGGACTATTTCTGGAAATAGTCTTGCTAAAAGTTTTTTAAACCCCTTCTCAAAAAAGGGTGGGAGTGATAATAAAAAAAATATATATAAATTTTTAAAAGTAGAAAAACATTAGGAAATAAAGAAAAATTATTTTTTAAAAAAACAACATTTTTTTTCCCCCAAAGAAACTAAGTTCAAGGGAGGTAATACTGATATTTTTTGTGCTAGAGTTATAAACCTTGTCACATATGATGTGGTTGATGACCAGAAACTTATATTTAAAGTTTGAAGTAAACACCTTAAGAAATAAAGAACATATAGTGAAAAAGCTGAAAAATTTAAATCAGAAATCTTGAAATTCAGGCTATTTGTTGCCATAGCAACCAGAATTTTCAACATAGGAAGAAAAGAAAAACATGTGCATAATCTCCAGACTGCCATCTACCCATATTTCAAGTTTCATAAAAATATTTTCAGTACTTTTTGAGTTATCACTGGATCCAGTTTATGTGTTAAATTTGCCATATTTTCAGACTATTTGTTGCCATAGCAACCAGAATTTTCAACATAGGAAGAAAAAAAAAAGACGTGCATAATCTCCATACTGCCATCTATCCATATATCAAGTTTCATAAAAATATTTTCAGTACTTTTTGCGTTATCGCGGGATCCAGTTTTGTGGACGGACGGACTGACAGACTGACAGACAGACAGACGGACAGACAGACAGACGGACAGACGGACGGAGGGTAAACCTAAAGTCCCCTCCGGTTAAACCAGTAGGGGACTAATAAATATTACATCATGTACATTGTAATCTCAAACTAAGTTACAATTTATTATTTGTACTTTTGTTAATCATTTCAGTGATTTATTTTGCTTTAGACTGGCCTTTATTTATGTAGCTAATAGACTATTGAGTGAAAGCAGAGTTATTTTTTAGCGTTTTTGGGAACATGAACCATACCCAGGAATTAATTGATTAAATGAATAAAAAGAATCACTGTCTGGGATGGCATCAAACATGTAAGAACCATAACAGTGAAGAAACCCTTGATTTCAAAGATTTTGGATTGTTTTATAGTTATACAATATTTTTATTTTGCAACTTTCAATTGGGAATTTAATTTTTTCATATGAAAAGACAGACATGGTCATATTATATATCTACAGCTTATGCAGTCTAAATAGACATGTTCCACTTGATGTTGTACAAAAACATACAGATTGGTAACAAATGTTGTGAAATTACAACTGTTAATTTATTAATACACTTCACACTTACTGTATTTCCATACTGAAAGCATTATGAGCAGCTGTTGAAGTTGATTTAGATGCCACACACTCAATAGCTTCTCCTGCCCTGCGTTCCATTTTTTTCAGCTTGTTATTGGACAATGTTGGTAAGTTGAGGGTGGACAGCATATTGTTAACCTTTGTTGGACCTCCAATACTGTCTATCATAGCTGAAAATGAGTGAAACTTATCTTTTTTGTATAATACATATTAACATTTCTCAAGACGTGACCCAAAACAACTAAATTCAACATAGAAAAGCTATTTGATAGGGGTCACATATTTTACAATGTACATGTAAGAATAATGTATGCTCCTGGATTCAACTGTACTACAGTAGGCATTGGTCAACATGGCAAAAATTTGTGGTTTACTAAAATGAATATGATAATACTAAATTATTAAATAGTCAAATTTTCATCATTTAAACTTATAATTATTCACACAAGTCAGAATCATTATCATATAACATGGAACAGATGTGTGGAATAGAAAATTATTATATAGATCTAAACAGAGCTTATACAAGGTTAACATATTTTTAGGACCTAACGGAAAACGGAAGCGGATACATATAATACCGAAGGAGTCTGACACATTTAAAACGGAAAAATTAAAGGGTTTTTACAGACTTCCCCGTTCATAGGCTTTACCTAGTTTCATATTACATTTTCTCCTTTATATACAGTTGTTTAGGCAGTAGCGGATAGCTAAGGAGATCGACGCTGCTTATGTCTTTAATAATAATATTCAGAAAATCAAATTGATGCAGTATCTTTGACATTACATGTAGTACTCTTTGTTTATGTTCGGCATATAGTTCAGGTAGTAGCGGATAGCTTTGGGGAGTATGGGATAGGTAGGTGAAGGTCAATGAGGGCGAGTCTCAAAACGTTCTAAATTTAGTATTTACAAAGTACATGTCACAGAAACATGTTTTGGAATGAAAAATGTTACATTTGACATCTTTCAAATTTTTCTACAAGTAAATAAATATATAAATAAATATCTGGTCAACAACTTATGATGCAACTGTGACATGTAATAGTTTGAACATAGCTATAGTTTACCATAGTTATTTCTTTAAAAAATCTATAATTATATCAAAACAGTGTATTATTTGAAGATGGAATAATTATTAAACCTGGAATACACTTAAAAATCAATTCCTGAGATTTAGTTCATCTAAGGGGGGGTTAGTTGTTGCGGCACATCAACTTAGGGGGGTTAGTTCATCTAATGTGGGGTTAGTTGCTGCCTGGCATCCGCGTTTTGACACATAAAATAAATTTTGAGACCACCCCTAAATGTAAAATCCGTTACTGACAGAAGCACTTGCTATTCATTTTCAATAATTTTTAGTGTCAGTAGGCGTTATATCTGTAAAAGCTTTTGCAAAATTATAAACAAATGATTTTTACACCAAATCATGTCAATATTTCATTACTTTACTTGGTGTTGATCAATAGTGTTCTGTTTATTTCTTGTGGAAGCGCTTATAAACAGTCTGATGGTGACAACATCTGGTTACCTCGTTCTGATTTATGTAAGAAAAACTCGCTGTGCAATTTGAAATAAATAAAACAAAATAAGCCACGGATGGCAAATTTATCTCTCTTTTTGATGGTATATTTGTATATTTTGAAAAAGGCATATTTGATGGAAAGGAGCATTGTTACTGCCATGTTATCCGCTATACCCTAAAATCCGCTACTGCCTAAACAACTGTAATAATAAAATTAACATTGAACATTTGTTAAAATTGACTTTTAATGCATAAAATGTTCTAATAAGACAACTGTGTTTACAACAACAAAATATGTGTAAGCTTTACAGGGTTCGAATTTAGCAATATTTTCTACTTGCAAATTTTTGCAAGTAGCAAAATGTTTAACTGGCAAAATGAGGAAGTCAACTGGCATTTCAAATATTTTATATCTTTATTACTATAATTGACAATATATTAAACTTTGAACATAATAAAATTATAGTATGACAAATGATATTAAACTGCAGAACTTAAACACTCTGTAATGAAACATGAACAATTCAAACAATTAAGGCATATCATTACATTTATTATGTCTGTGTATATTGTATGCATATATACAGCTGGCATCTTCCATGATTATTACTTTCTAAACAGTTCAGAGCCACCAAGCTAAGGTTTTGTTGCACACACTAATTAATAAGTAATTATGTCGGTTCTTAATTGCAATTAACAGTGACAAAGTTCTAAACACATAACAGCTACTTTCTATCATTTGTAGTAAAGACATTTTTTGTCATGAAAATGTAGCTAAAGCTTATTGAATGGGTATTTATGTGAATAAAATATTTGCAGTTAAAAGAAACAAATTGACTGAAATTCACCAGGTATTGTTATGTTGTGAGATGACACTGGCTTAATGTGAGAGGTAAAAATACCTAACTCTCTGTCAATGCAAAAGACAAAGAAATGTTCAATTTCTGGGTCCATATGGCAGTGTGTTAGGTCTTTTTTGCCTCTCCCCAGACAACCACCATCTTCTCACTGCAGGCCTAGGGTCAAAGTCTTTTAGAGAAATATCTCCAACTTTGATTCTCATCAGTGTGTCCATGATTTCTGCCCCAAGCCTGCACCTCCAATCTGATTTTATCCTTTTCATAGTTGAAAAGGCCCTTTCACATGATGCATTGGCCAGAGGTAGAACATTTGACAAGTGAATGACCTTAAGAATATCTTTGTAATCTCCTTTATCCCTATCCATTTGGCTAATCAACTGCCATACAAGCAGTGGGTGCAAAGTACTGTACCTTGCATTTCCACTTACATAAAATTTTAAGTCGGACCACTGGCTCAGTGCATTGACTAGGTTACAGCCGGAATTTGTCAGAACAGATTCATAATGATTGAATATCTGTCTGATATCTCCAATTCCATACTGCAAAAGAGCCTCCCTTTCTGTTGAAAGAGGCCAATTTTTATGATCAAATGCATTGCATGCTAAAAAGACTTCATCACTTGACAAATTTTCAAGCCTTGTATTCAGACAATCAAGAACAGACTGAGTTATCCTGTGTCTATCTCTGACCAATGCATCATTTGGAATAATGTTTTGAAGTTTAAAACCATGAAAAAGGCCATCTATAATTTTGTCATTTATTTCTGAAACTGATGGGCCATCATTGTCAATAAGAGCCCTTAAGGAGGTTTCAGCACTTTGGAGTTTTGTCATGGCACTATAAACAGTAAGATCTTCCCTCTGAAAAAGTAAACTAATTTTTGACACTTCATTCAAAATATCTTTTACAAATGCCAGGTACCAAACCATTTTGTGTTGTTTAAGCTGCCTCAGATACCCCCTAACCTTAGCTCTGTCCTGTTCTCTATTTGAGCTGTCCTCAGCATAATTTTCAAGCTGAGTGACTATGATAGGCCAATTCTTAATTAATTTACTTGTAGCCCTAAGTTTATGGTCAACCCATCTTGTGCCATTAGCTTTCTCAGGCTTCATGAAATGTTCCCCAAGTAACTCTGCAATATCTGAATACCAGACCCCTTATAAAAATAATACATGGACACAATCATTTCTATGACATTGTCCATGTATGTATCTTTAAAGGCATCCTTGATTGCCAACTCTAACCTGTGGGCCAAACACCATACGGATTTTATCCAGTTGGCATTACCCTGTGTTTTCATCAACTGAATAACACCCCGTTTGGAACCCATCATAACAGATGCTCCATCAGAGCAAAAGCCTACAGTTTTTTGTTTGTAATCATTTAAATCATACTCTAAAAATGCCCTGTCAATGGCTTCTAATATACCTTGGGATTTTGTATTTTCAGGTTCAACAAGCTTCAGATACCTCATTTTTGGATAGTAATTGTCCAAGCATTTTATTAAAATTACTTCTTTTTCTGTTTCAGATCTATCAGTTGATCCATCACAAAATATGCTAAAATAATCAGCATCATGTAAAAGATGTTTGGTCTCATCAAAATACACACCACCAATGTGTTCTATAAGATCTTTTGCAGCCTTGTCAGTATGGTAGGTATCACCAAGTGACAAGCCATTACATTGCTGCAGATCTATTAAATTTGGGAAGTCAGTAAAAGGTCTTTCAAAGATTGCAATATAGTAAGCAGTTTTGAAAAGTTTTGTCATCTTTTCAGATGTAGTCATGTCCATTTTTTGAAAACCCTTCTCAAGATCTGTTTGTTCATTCCGTTTTTTTCTTTCTTGGGCTGCTTTAGTCTGCACAGCTCGCATGTGCATTGTAGAGTTCACATGGAATTTCATAGACTCCCTCTTCACAGTTGTGTTCCCAGTTATAAACTGCAATTATGAAATGGACCTCACTTACTCATAATACTAACCTACATCAGTAAAATGATTTTATCATTTTACGTAGGTATGTAGTATGCTAATGAGTTTATTAATAATTGATTTATAAACTAAAAACAATTGTTTTCGGATCAGGAATAGGCTTATACTAGAGGAACACCACCTGCCTTTGTAGACTAGAATTTACCAGTGACAATGTACTGCTTTTGACCTTCATTAATTTAGCATATATTGTGATTGATCAGCTGATTACACCAACAGACTATTGAGTCTATTTATATAATTAATGTCTCAGCTATAAAAGTAAGCAAAAAATAGATCATGGAGTTTGTAGAGTATTTCTGCATCCAAATAATATATATATATATATATATATATATATATATATATATATATATATATATATATATATATATATATATATATATATATATATATATATATGTATGTTTTGACTATTCACTACTGTTAGTGTGATAGCATCTACAAAATATCAGCCCTCAAAATATGTCAGCCAAGTCTGTAATATGCTGCCAGCATGTATATATACATACATGTACATGAATACTGCAGAGGCCTAGTTATCCAACTGCGATCTTTTAACAACAAATTTATCCATATTTTTTTTAAGTATTCACGGACGGGTGCACCGCATGGACATTTGACCTTGATAAAACTACTTGGACTCGCTAACCAATAGTATTTGTCTGTTATAAATAGTCCGTCTAAATATAGCCACAGAAAAACCAAAAAGAGCGACTAAAAATAATTTTTACGGTAAACGTCACCAGTTATTGCGGCTTGTACGGTAAACGTCATCAGTTTCTGCAGCGGACACTTGCCAAGCATGCGCAAAAGATATCAATTGTGTAAACTTCCGAAATGAACAAGTACTCGCAAAAAAATGCGAGCTCAAGTAATTTCTGCTCGCTGTATTGGATTTTAACTGGCATTTTGCGAGTATGCGAGCTTAAATTCGAACCCTGCTTTATACCTGTACCAAGCTTGGTATTTACTGCAAAACAAGGCATGCCTGATTTTCCTGATTTTCCCCTGTGGGTTTTCCCATACGGAACACAGTTAATGAAACCGCAATTTAAATTTTGGCACTGCACATACAGATATCCACCAAGTCCCTTCTTAATTTCCTTTTGTACACTGTATAATGTCAGTGGAACTGGTCTTAACCTGCACGATTTGCAAAATTTCAAATTTTCAAGAAGAACACCTAGTTCAATGATTCTCCGCCCAATTTTCCACTGTTGCGTAAGATTTTGGTCACTAAACACTTCAGCGGAATCACCACTTTGCACAGAATTGTCCGTTACATAATTATGTTCAATTACAATCCTTTCAAACTTCTTAATTTTAACGTTATTTGTTTTTTTGGCGTACCGGCCACGACAGTTTCGCAAGCGAGCGGCCATATTGCTTCCTGTGAAAACTGACGTCACTGTCGCTAAAAAAAGGTTATACGATAAGTGGCGAGAAAAGGCGAAGGTAGCTTCGGGCCTTCTACCACGTTTCACGATTTTACCCGATATTTACCGATTTATTAGGGTCCGTAATCCTTAATATGTATTACAAAATACATTTGCTTACATCAAGTTAACATGATATTGTTTTAATTATGATTTCCACAATTCATAAAACATGCCAACTCTTTGAAATAAGTCAAATTTAACATTTTAAAAATGTCCCTAGATTTTCGTGATTTTGGTCACAACACGCTTCCGTAGAAAGAAAAATTTACATAACTTGTGCATACGCATTTTTTTTAAAATACTCAGTAAGATGTGTGGTAAATTCTGTGTCATTTTAGATAATTGTACAAAAGGAAACAATGTAGAACGTTGAGTAAAAGATAAACTTTCTTTTAATGATTACTTCATTCAAAATTGTGTTTAAAATCGCGAAATTATATGACACATTTTGTCATCTGCATAATCGATTGATTAGTGTTCAATTAAATCTATCTACTGACATATTTTTCCCTAATTTATACAGAAGAATGTAGAATTGACTAAAATTACTCACCTTTGCATTAGGAATGCTGGAATTGATTCAATTGAAGTAACTTCAGATCTTTCAACGAAAATATAATAAACGTGACGTCACCGAACGTGCATAAAATGAAAGTATGGTGTAATTTAAGAGACACATTTAAATATCGATTTTTACTAAATCTTTATGATCGATTTTTCAGGATTCTGCAAGGAGATTGTTTGAGGACTTTTTTCTCAAAATGTAGATAATGTTTATCTTTTATTTAATCGTGAAAACATTTGTGAAGGAATTAGTTTTACCTTAATTTCTATTATGACTGGCCTAGTCCCCACTATATCAGAATTTCTGATATACTATATTTTTTCAAAAATTGTTTTATTTACTGCTTTTATCTATCAGATACGTTTTCTCTAATTGATTAAACAATGTTTATGGATAAATAATTGAAAAATATGAATATTTAGAAATGATTTTAAAAATTATGAGCATATTATCTACCGAGACATAACGTCGTAAATTACGTCAAGTCGTATTATTTTATCATGCAATCCCTTTCTCAAAAGACAGTAACCTGTTATTCTTTTTTTATCATGCCATTACTATGACAACTGCCTGATAAAGCCTGTCTGAGAACAGCAACCTTTCTCAGTCAGTGACTTGAGAACACTATGCAATAAGATGCAAAATCATAAATCTCAAAAGACAGTAACCTGTTATTCTTTTTATCATGCCTCTATTATGATTTTGCATCTTATTTTTATTTGTTTGGGTCGTCAGACCAAACAAATAATGGTAGCGAAATTTCAGAGTATAATGTTCTTAATTGCAAATGCCGAAAGTAGTCCACTTTTTTGAAGCGGTTACTTCCCTTTTGTATGTACACTAAAGTCGAAAATTCAGGGGAGATCACTGCGTAAAGATGGTCAAAGACAGGCGCATCAATTTTCAAGCACAGTAATTCCCGAATGGTCGAAGGTTTCTAATATTGTTTTATTGTATTTTCTGATCGAAAATAACTAAATACAAAGCGGACATTCAATCTCTGACACAGAAGTTTACAACAAACCTAACAACAAGTAGTTCTCAAAACAGCTTAAAACTAGCGATTTAAAAGAAAGAAATATTTTATTTTGTTACAAGTATCCAACAAATTACAACGCATTTAAAGTTAAACAATAGCGTTGGCTTATAGAATTGTCAATAAATGCACAATCACAAATTACGCGGATGAAAATGATTTTATCAATGAAAATACTATTTATAACCGAACACTACACAAACCGAGTAGTGGAATATATAGATTCTACATGTCGGACTGTTTGGGCGAGAGGATTTTCGCTAAAATATTTACTTCAATTTTAAACAACAGGTTTTCCCTGAAGAAAATACCTCGAAATTAATAAGGATTACAAACCCTAAATGCAATGGAAGTTCTAAATTTAGAATGACTTGATATTATTCAGACCACCTGTGTATAACTTCTCCGTGGTACAGTGGTAACGCGCTCGCTTAGTGAGTGAGAGGTCTCGAGTTCGAATCCCAGTCGAGAAAAAAATTTTTCTGATAAATTCTTTTTTAAGTGTTTTTGTTAAGGAAGTAGCCATGATATGCAAGGATAAAGTGTGACTGTCGTAAAAAATGAACATAAATAATTTTTTGATGCAACTCTAGTAATGCAGAATTCCGTATGTATCAAACTCTGGTGCCTTGCAAAATGAATTATAATACATAAAAATAAACCTATACAGGAAAATGCATACAGATATACAGTACGATTTAGATTGCAAAGATCAGAAAATACCACAAAACTTGCAGCACTTTGATTTTTTATAAATATAAATGCTTATAGTAAGCTCCAGGATTATTTACATCTGTGTTAAACAACAGTTAAAGTCGTTACAAGCCCTAATTTAGAATAATATGGTTTTCTTCACATATAAATTCACCGTGGCTGAAGGGTTTTCGGGCTCGCTTAGGAAGCGAGAGGTCTGGAGTTCAAATCCCAGTAAAGGTAACTCTTTTTTTTCAAATTGTTAAAGTCAAATAAACATTGGATTGAATATCAGTGTTGCAATTAGTCTTATAGCCAATTTACTACAATTAAAACGCTGGAAAGCATTGGTGGCACTATACATATAATCTCACAACCTGCACCTTTCTTACATTCTGAGACCCAAACAAATTCAGCACCTTCTGTGCTTTGATTTTTTAATTCGGGGCGCTAATGAAAGTAAGGTAACCACAAGAGGGTTATACGCCAAAAAAGTAGTTCGAGGGTTTTTACCAATAATTTTATAACACAACACAATTTTTGGTACAATTTGCTTTAACAATTTATTTACTGTGTATTATCATACATATTCAGCAAAGACAATTAAACAATACCAACAATAAACATCATCAGTGCTGATCTGGCGTAGGAACATAGTGTTCTCAAGTCACTGACTGAGAAAGGTTGCTGTTCTCAAACAGGCTTTATCAGGCAGTTGTCATAGTAATGGCATGATAAAAAAAGAATAACAGGTTACTGTCTTTTGAGAAAGGGATTTCTCAGACTCGGCTAGATATGGTCTGGAAGGGGCTCGGCAAGCCTCGCCCCTTCCAGGACCATATCTAACCTCGTCTGAGAAACCCTTTCTCAAAAGACAGTAACCTGTTATTCTCTATATATGTTGCGCTTTTCATGAAGTATTAGGTTTAATGTCTTTTTAAAATGTTTCTTTGCATATAATAAGAGGAATATTTGTTAAGTTTAGTGTAAGATCGAAATAGTTATTTCACCTTGTGCCACTCATGAAATATACCTTTTGGTGCTCACTCGGTGAAATATATTCCGATCTTACACCAAACTAAACAAATATCCTTTATATTATATATTGCATAGTTTTTAATTTGTTTGATAACTCATTTCTGAATGTTTGTTAATCATACATAAATGCAGGTAAAACTTAATAATTTGACTATTCAGCCTCTGTATGAATTTCATGGAAATAAGATTGAAAATATATTAATTGTACTTGTATGTTAATCCAAAATATATAAGTGGTACCTTACCTCCAAAAATGGTTTGTAACTTGGTATGTTTCCTCCATTGTACCTTAACCTCTATTAATCAATTTCAGTGATTTTTCTGCTTATATAACAGACTCCGAAAAAGGGCCTCTTCCCAATTGAAATTTTCTTTAAAATCATGCAGTTTTCCCAAAAATCTTAACTTAAACCTGCTTTTTTCTTCCCAAATAAGCAGTTTTAGCGATATTTTTTCCCCAAAATCAAGAGGCTAAGGCCTCTTCCCAATTAAGTGAAAAAAATCACTGAATTTGTAGGACATTGACAGCAAGAACTTGAATTTTACTGTTGATGTGGAGTGGTACCTTAATGGAAGATTTATTGTAGATTGTTCGCACTGATTTTGGGTACCGGTATAAATGGAATGAATTTCAAATTTTTTTTTGACTGTCTTACTATAACACAAAAGATAATTTCAAAGTAGATTTGCAATTTTATGTCAAATATGTTCTCAACAAAATGTGTTTACTTTTCGAGGTTGTGTAGTTTGGAAATCAGAATTATCAGACATTTTGCTTGTAAGACATTGAATGCAGGAATTTAAAATGTAATGTGGAGTGGTACCTTAAGGTAAAATTTTCAAATCTTGCTTTTTTTTCAATAAATTTGGATAAGGATTTATGATACGCATTTGCCAAATTAATGGTAAAATTTTATCAAAATATTACACCCAGATATTGAAAATTAGGTTTTAAAAGGGGAAGGTAACTAGTATACATGAATATCTGAATTTGAAATTTATTAAATGTGACTGTGTCATTTGACTAAACTTAAAATGGCTACATATTCGAGAAGAGACAGCTGTGGAAGGAAGATAATTTTCACAAAGAAAAAAAAATCTATTAAGTTTATATTTTCCTGATTTTTCAAACTTTTTTTTGCAGAAAAATGGCATGGATTTATTGAATTTCAGCTGTACAATTAATTTTATGTCATATATGTTCTCAACTTAATGTGTTTTTTTTTTCAGTTAGTGTGGTTTGGGATCAGAATTATCAGACCAGTATTACTTGTAGGACATTGACGGCAGAAACTTGGAGTGTTACCACAATGATATTTTCATCAGTGAAGCATTTCTAGTTTGAAATTATGACCTCTGTAATATCTGAATGTTTAAAAGAATTAAATCCATCATTTTCATTAAAACCAAAACAGCTAGAATGTCTGAACCATATCATTGAAGGTCGAGATGTTTTAGTTAATTTACCAGTCGGATATGGCAAAAGCCTTATTTACCAGATGCTGCCAAGCATTATGGAGAGGATGGGACGAAGCAGGACTGTGGTCTTGGTCATATCTCCACTTAATATAATTCAGGAGGACCAACTTAAAAAGTTACAAGACCATGGTAAATTATCCTACATTTTACCATTTTGTGATGGGAATTCAGAAGTAGATTTAACAGGAATAATTGATGGCAAATATTCGATTATATTTTCACACCCAGAGACTATACTGAATACAGACTTTGGAAAGGTATTGCTGCAAGAGCAATCTTTCATTGAAAGGCTGGCTGCAGTATTTATTGACGAATGCCATGTAGTAGAACAATGGTATGTTTTGCATTTACTTCAATTAAAACTTATATCCTAAATTGACCTAGTAAAAGTGTGTAACCTCCTGTACCATCATGATGTATGATATTATAACATATTATGTAATTCATTGTAGTCATCTGTCTGATTAAACTTGACTCCTGACGAGTTTGACTCTTTAAATTTTAAGGGTACATACATTTTGTATGAATTAATTTTTTCATTAACTATATATTAAGTCCTGATATGATATTGTTTTTTCAAACATTTAACCCGCATTTTCACTATTGAAAATAGAAGGACCCAAGGATTTTGTTATTATGCAACAAAATTATTGTTGCCTTTATATATTTAGACATGTGACATAACCGTTAAACATGTGACATAACCATTTAAAGCGACAAAATAAATCAGGTGCAATTAATATTTATATCATGTATGGCATGATGCCTAACTAGAATCAAATAAATAATTATCCTAATCCCCTGATAGAATCACTGTTTATTGTTCCAATGCAAATCATTAAATCACTATATTATATCAGGATTGATAACTGCATTATAGTCTTATACAACATTATTAGCTCGCATATACGAAGTATATGGAGAGATGTCCTACTCGCCCTGGCATCTGCGTCAAATCATTTCAGTTTAAAGTTTTGTTGCAGTAAAATATTTTTCACTATAACTTTTCATTTCTTAAGGTATCAACTTCCAATAATTATGTTCCTTATCATCATCTTATGCGACAAGGTTCATCACTCTAGCACCAATATTTTCAGATTTATCTCCCCTTGAACTTTGAATTTTCCTTAACAAAATTTTTTTCTGTTACTTTTTTATTTCTTAAGGGATCAACTTAATACTTTAAAGATATGTTCCTTATCATTAACCGCATCTTATGTGACAAGGTTCACAACTCTAGCGCCAATGTTGCAAAAAATTTCTTCTTATAAACTTAGATTTTTTTACTTGAAAAATGCTATTTGTTTGCTATAATTTTTTTAGTATTAAAGATATCTACCTAAAGCTTCAAATACATATTCCTTATCATCAACTAGATCTTATGTGACAAGGTTCATAACTCTTGTAGCAATATTTTCAGATTTATCTCCTTTTGAACTTAGAATTTTTTAAAGAAATATAATAACTTCTTTACTTTTTAAGGTAATCTTCTTCAAACTTCAAATATATATTTCTTATCATTACATAAATGTTGTGTGACAAGGTCCATAACTCTAGTGTGACTATCTCCAGAATTATTCCTCCTTGAACTTGAAATTTATGTTAATATATTTAAAGAAATATATTTAAATCCTAATTATTTTTCTTTCATAGTTTTGTCTTCCTTACTGCTTCCAGTATTTAATTATTGGAGCTTCGCTGTCTCCTGTGTGACAGCTCTAATGTTCTAAATACTATCATACCTTTCAAAACCATGCTTCAAGACAGCTGCTTCAATTCTTGTAGTTTAATGAAAAATCCTTTTCACTGTGTGGAAAGAGATCTGAGTTCAAATCTCAGCAAGAATATGTTCTTTTTCTGGAAGCATGATCTTGTACAAAAATTATATGATAATAGATAAATAATAAACACTGGCATATCATAATATAATTTTCTTTTATCAATAGTTATATTAAAATGACCAAATAACATGCATTTTAAACAATTATTAACACAAATTTTTTTTTAAATTAATTGGTCATAACATGAGAATAAAATATCATTAACATTTTAAAAATACTGCAATAGTTAAAGACTGAATACAAAGCTATCAAGCAACAACAAAAAAATATTATCATCTACATTATGTATTTGGTAATTTTGTAAGATTTTAACTCTAATATTTTTCCAGGGGTGAACAATTCAGGAAAACCTTCTAGAAGATAAAAACTCTTCCTGCAATATTCACAGATGTTCCCTTCATTGCTTTAAGTGGAACACTTACATGTAAACAGATACATAAATTACCTTCTACAATTGGACTTGCCAATCCTGTCATTATTCAAGAAAGCCCAGATCAAAAAAATATTTTTCTGAAGAAAATTAAAAAGATTAAAGATACTGATGTAAATATGATTTACGAAGAAATATATAAGACAGAATGTGACCAGCTTCATCAAAATCAACATAGTTTCCCTATTACTTTACTTTTTATGCCTTTGTTTTATATAAGTCAAGCTGCTGCTTATTTGAAATACTTATTTGGTAAATGTGACATAAAGTCATCATGTTATGCTGTGTTATTTTCTAAACAGGATAAAGAAGTAATGAATACTACAATTGATGACTTACACAAACAAAGTCCAAGAATAAGATTAGTTTTGACTTCCTCAGTAGCAGGAATGGGGTTTGATACCCCAAGTGTTGTGAGAATTATACATGCCCAACCACCCCGCAATCTCTCACAATACTTGCAAGAAATTGGGAGAGCAGGCAGAAGAGACCAAAGTAGCACGGCTACTCTTTACTACAACAAAAGACACATTGCAAAAAATCTGCCTGGTATCCAGGATGACATAGTAGAGTATTGTTCCACCAACAATAAATGTCTTCGTGAAATGCTTCTAAAAACTTTTGGTTTTTCCAAATCATGTAACATTCCTGCAGAGAAATGCTGTTCATTTTGTTTGGACGAGGAGTTGAAAAAATTAGCTGAATCTGGAGCATTTGATGAAAATGTTCAGATTATATAATATGTGCAACACTTGAATCATTTATCTTTACATGAAATGAGAAATTTTGATTATTTTCAGCAGTGGATAACACAAAAGTAACTAAGCAGGTCTAATTATCTCACCTTGATTTGGGATTTTAAAGTCATTTGTGCTACTGATTAAGTCAAAAATACTCTTGTTTTATGTATATTTTAGGTCTCTATAAAAGAGTGCCATTATAAATTGGTCTTTATCCCTCATCTGAGATTAAGTGCTATCAAATTTAAAAGGTCACATTCTTCAATGCTTAATAGATTTACTAATTATTATCATCAAATTGGGTCATTCATTTAAATTGCCACATGCTGCATAAATGAAATAAAACAAGATTGCATTTGTGAAAAATGCTTTTCTTCCACATTATTACAACATTATATACAATATTAAGAAGGAACAGAGGTAGTTTTATTTCTGGTGTTTTTACAATGATTTTTGCTATTATGCAATTAATGACTATTAAATTTGGATGAAAAGGGCACATTTAAGGTGTCTAAAATGGATTCAAGATTAAATTATTGTTTATTTGAAAAATGTTAAGGTATTTATTGTATAACATAGCTGTATTAAATTTTGAAATACAGAAACAGTTATATTTCTTAAATACTAAATTTTCTTAAGCATTATAAACCAATTTCTGAAACCTTAAAAAAACATCTATGATTATATACATGCTGTGTATCCTAATTAATGTCCTTACAATGTGCTCAAAATTTTTCATAAATCCTGCTAACTTTTCTCATACTAGAGGTCATGACCTCAATCATTTCATAAAAAATGTTTGAAAAGCAAACATTTTCTTTCTTCACTATCTTTAGACTTGCTCATAGCTATTGAATATTTTTTTTATAAAAATTTAAATAACATGTTTAAAAAATATTCCAGTACGAGTTGTGTTCCTTACATTAATAAACTGCCATACCTTAAAATAGAAATTGTTTCATGCAAAATATCTAGACTAATTATTTTAGCCCTTTATATTTTGAAGAAAAAAATTACTATAAACATATAATTGAAAAACATTAACCCAGTATTTCATTTGAAATGTAATTGCTGTATGTCATTGCTGTATATTATTTGAAATGTCATTCTTGCATGTTACTTGAAATGTCAATGTTACATGTTATTTGAAATGGCATTGTTGTGTGTAATTTGAAATGTCATTGCTGCATGTAATTTAAATGGCATTGATGTATGTTATTTGAAATGGCATTGATGTATGTTATATGAAATGGCATTGATGTATGTTATTTGAAATGTCATTGATGTATGTTATTTGAAATGGCATTGATACATGTTATTTGAAATCTCATTGCTGTATGTTATTTGAAATGTCATTGATGCATGTTATTTGAAATGGCATTGATGTATGTTATTTGAAATGTCATTGATGTATGTTATTTGAAATGTCATTGATGTATGTTATTTGAAATGGCATTGATGCATGTTATTTGAAATGGCATTGATGTATGTTATTTGAAATGTCATTGATGTATGTTATTTGAAATGTCATTGATGTATGTTATTTGAAATGGCATTGCTGTATGTAATTTGAAATGTCATTGATGTATGTTATATGAAATGGCATTGTTGTATGTTATATGAAATGGCATTGTTGTATGTTATATGAAATGTCATTGCTGTATGTTATTTGAAATGGCTTGGATACATGTTATTTGAAATGGCTTGGATACATGTTATTTGAAATGGCATTGATGCATGTTATTTGAAATGTCATTGATGCATGTTATTTGAAATGTCATTGATGTATGTTATTTGAAATGGCATTGATGTATGTTATTTGAAATGGCATTGATGTATGTTATTTGAAATGGCATTGATGTATGTTATTTGAAATGTCATTGATGTATGTTATTTGAAATGTCATTGATGTATGTTATTTGAAATGGCATTGATGTATGTTATTTGAAATGGCATTGATGTATGTTATTTGAAATGTCATTGATGTATGTAATTTGAAATGGCATTGATGCATGTTATTTGAAATGTCATTGATGTATGTTATTTGAAATGGCATTGATGTATGTTATTTGAAATGGCATTGATGTATGTTAAAAAAAATGGCATTGATGCATGTTATTTGAAATGTCATTGATGCATGTTATTTGAAATGGCATTGATGCATGTTATTTGAAATGTCATTGTTGTGTGTAATTTGAAATGTCATTGCTGCATGTAATTTAAATGGCATTGATGCATGTAATTTAAATGGCATTGATGCATGTTATTTGAAATGTCATTGTTGCATGTAATTTAAATGGCATTGATGCATGTTATTTGAAATGGCATTGATGCATGTTATTTGAAATGGCATTGATGTATGTTATTTGAAATGGCATTGATGTATGTTATTTGAAATGGCATTGATGCATGTTATTTGAAATGTCATTGTTGCATGTTACTTGAAATGTCAATGTTACATGTTATTTGAAATGGCATTGTTGTGTGTAATTTGAAATGTCATTGCTGCATGTAATTTAAATGGCATTGATGCATGTTATTTGAAATGTCATTGTTGCATGTAATTTAAATGGCATTGATGCATGTTATTTGAAATGTCATTGATGCATGTTATTTGAAATGGCATTGATGCATGTTATTTGAAATGTCATTGTTGCATGTATTTGAAATGTATTTTATAATTATCTACAATTCCACTTGACACATTATATATATAAAGACAGAAACAAAAACAACAATTTGTAAGGTATAAACAATTGTCTGAAATAGTAGAAGTGAACAATGTCTTTACATTATCATTTTTCATTGAATGTATTGTAATTAATTTATTCTGAAAATAAATTATCATCTTTGAATAATTTCTCTTCAGATCTTTTAATTAATGATTTGCAATAGAAAAAATCAACAATATTATGTATATTTCACATTTTTAGAAGAGGGATTGAATTTTATGACGTTCCCAAGATAAATGTAAAATAATTATTCTTTACTGTGAGTACAAAAGTACAATGTACACATTTTATTAATTGTACCATTGTCATTGTAAACAATTTGTTGCTAAAATTCTATGAAAAATCTTGTCTAGAACCACCGAATATAAAAATGTTTGGTATACATGATATGGTTTTTATTTTAACAAAATGTTGATGTTGTCTAATGTGTATGTTATGAAAAGGCTTCTGACCCTGCCTTCTGGAGGACATTTACAATCTTCATTTTTTTTAATAATTAGGTTTAACCAGATAACCAGCGAGAAATATAGTTTCTGTTCCCTAGAATTTGACTACATGTATTTAAATTCTTTACTAATGGTTTCAGATAAATATAACTTTTATGTGTACAACAAAAGTACAACATTTTACATAGAAGTAGTATTATAAGATACAAGTTATCTAAACATAGACAAATGAAATAATAACATTCTCTAAGTGCAACATTTATCAATGGAAAAGTACAGGTACTAATTATCTTAACATAGACAAAAATTGATAACTTTCTTTAAGCGCTTTATAATTAAAAAAGTTGTTAATTTCTTAATTGTATCACATGTTGACCTGAGATTATAATGTTCTACATTATTTCCAGAAATAATCACTGATGTATGTGTGTCTTAAATTAGAGTAGACTGGACAAATTAGTACAAAATGGTACTCATTTTCTTGTACTCATTCACAGAATGGGCAATCATCTATTATATTATTATAATGACCAATATAATAAAAAAATCTTAACATATTAAACAAACTTTAACATATCTAGAAAGATGCATATTAATGATATGCATCCAATATTTCAAAATACATTTATAAACCAGTACATGTATATACATAGGGTAAAGACCAAAATACCCTTATAAGAACTGAATCATTGCCAGGCGTTTTCTTTACATAAAGAAAACATTTACAAGCATATTTATGCTTATACCCATTTTTTATGTTGCTGCTAAATGGCAAAACAAGTAAACTATTTTAAATCACTACACATGTATATATTTCATGTAGGTAATAAAACACTCTTACATACACCATGAAGTTCTACTATACTGAGCACTGACCACCGTATATATCCTATATATCCAATACACTAATTCATCTCCATTTCAATATAATGTAAATATAGAGTATATCAAAGTTTACCTCTAAATAAGTCCATACATTTATATACAATTTTTCCAAGAAAAGTACTTTTACTTAAAAACAGCACTTAAAGACTGAAACTTGCATAAATATGTCATCTGGCTAATTTGGACATTGAAAAAAATCCATATTCTGTAGACAGATAAAAAAAAATTTGTCTGATTCATAACATACCACTACTACCTCTAGTGAAATTATATATAACAGGGCCATATAATCATTTAATATTTGTAAATGTCTGCTATGACATATATCTCAGATCTTGACATTGTCGTTTCTAAAAAAGGTTGTACATGTTTTGTATTTTAACTAAATGACCTCAAGGGTTGGCCAATTTTACCTAAAGGAAAGAGTTACATGTCTTACATAATTTTTTTGTTTGTTTGTTTGTTTGTTTGTTTCATTTTACGCCTTCTTCCAAAAGTATTTCACTCATATAGGCGGGTAGTTTCCTAACCATCGTTCCTAGAGAGTTACACCATTTTTTTTAACAATACAAGTCTATGATATTCATGATATTCATTTACATTCTATATTAGATTTATAATACTTGTTGAATGTTCACCTGAGGCTTGCATAATATCATTTTATTCAAAACATTCCAGAAATTCTGTTATACATCTATACCCATTCAGTTCTCTTTAAAATTACTAATAGTCATCATCATTATTACCTTCAGAATCATATGAGGTACAACTGGTTTGTCCATAATAAAGTCTTGAAACAACTTGGTTTATCCGGTATTTGAAATCTTCATTATCTTCTTTCAAAAGAGATGAAGATAAAATACTTTGAAGTCCTCCACATGATCTTCCTTCAATTTTCTTAAAAGGTTTCAGATCACGCAAGGATGCACTTACAACTTGTTCATCTTTCTCTGCCTTTGGAATATTGTGTTTTGAAGCAGTTTTTTTCAAATTAACTGATGAATCAACATGCTCACAAATTAGAGAAACAGTATCTGCTGCCCTTGTACTTCTCAAGATTGCCTTTTCGGATTTATTAGCACCAAGAGATCTAATAAGGTCTTTTTGATTGCAAACAGATATCTCTTGAGCTAAATCACTCTCAATGTTATTACCTACTCCACCCCTAATATTAGTGAAAGCACCTTCCAACACTTGTATTCGCTGCATTGGGCTAAGAAGAAATTGGGTTTTTAATAGGAAGTCCAAACATTCTTCGAAGTACTTAGACAGCCTAGAATGCGCAAAAAAGAATGGCATTGTATACATGACACATGGTATTAGTCTAAAAATGTCTCCTTCCTTGACTACATCTTCCATCATCATCAATTGAAGGACCCAGTGACATAAATTGCTCGAGTAATTGTATACTGTATCTGAAATGTCCACAGATTTGATGTCGCTTGTTTCATGGTAGGCATTAAGGTACCCATAATTGGACATAAACTTATCAAGCATACTATTCATCTCTCTGTCACGGTCAAGAACAGACCTGGATACAGTCAGCACATTTTTAGTTGGCTCTGACAATCTATTTTCCATACCGAAATACTCTAAGAATTGCTCTATGATCATCTGCTTGCCAATAAGGAGTAAAAAATCATGATGTGATTTAAAGGCACCCTTTACCTTTCCGTTAACATCACTACGCTGAAGCTTAGCCTTGTAGTGGTAAACGGTTCCTGGCTGGCGAAGAGTTGATGTTTTGAACAGTTCTTTATAGCATTTCTGGAATAAAATTTATGCAATGTTATAAAATTTCAGAAAACTAGCAGTGTAATTAAAAAATTCTGTTAATGTAAACCATGGGTAATGCATTACCTCCACTTTGAAGAGTTTTAAATAGGCTAGAATCACTTGTCAACTGTATTGAAAATGAGGGGCGTGTTTCAAACTTCATAAGCAGAAATTTTTTTCTTTCCTTTTTTTTTTTTAACATTATTTATGTACCAGTATCTATCAGATTCCTTATGAAAGAAAAAAGTGTTTGATTTTTAATTTAAAATTATTGTAGGTATTTATTTGCTAATTAATACCAAAAATTAATAGCAAATATGATACCAGATATTTCTAAAGTTTAATAAAAGAAAACCTACATGGTAAAAAAAAATTATATTTCCCATGATCAACCAATATACTTTAGACAAACCTCCTTGTGGTAAATTTTAGGGGAAATTGTCAAATAAGAGTTCAAATTAGGTGGGGACAGGGTAACATTTTTATACAATCATTTTGCTTGTGTAATTTGTTTCTTTACAATGAGCAATAGGAAAACATTTTTCATTATGATATTATCAATAATTTACAGTTTCCTCATTTATGAATAATAACCTTTCTAATAGCACAATTTTTGTTCAGAAAAGTATCCCTAACTCATAAACCATATAGAAAATTTTATTTAAATTTTGCATACATGGGACTTTTAAGACATATAACTGTCCTATGTTGTCAATTTAACACTTTCTTATTGTGTCCATTACCCATGGTCTACCTTATATGAGTTTTTACAAATTTCAACTGAAAAAGTTAATGAAGCTTATCATTCCCCCTAAAAAATTTAATTTAGTTTTTAAAGAGGAGGAGTAGTAAACCTTGTAAAATGTCATTGATGGATGATTATTTTACTTATAAAAAAACATCTGTCCATACTGAGACTTACTTGTAAGTCCAATCAACCTAAAGCAAGTTACTTACTTAAATATCCTCAATTCAACAATGTTTTAGTTCAGACTTTAAATACCTCCAAGAAATCTTGTTTCATATGCCAGAACTCAATTATTATTGGGTCTAAATTTTCAAATCTTTTTTTCCTGGTTGTTGCAAGAGACCTCAAGTTCTTTGCTTCCTCTAGGCGCACTCTAGATAATTGATCTCCACCAACGGGAACTTTAAATTTCTGAAAGAGATCTTCAGATCCTAAAAAAATAAAACAAGAATTGCTAGACTTGTCAGATAATGACAATGACTAAAATGAGCAAGGAATGTTATAGGTATTACGCATTTCAGTTCTAAATTATATGAATTTCTTAGCTCTTTTAGATTAAAATGACACTAGAACAAAACTTAGATCATCATGTTCAATGTGAAAAAGGGGCATAAGGCAGGAAGTACTAATAACTAAGTTTGATGACTATCCAGCTCTACTGTAAGAAATTTTCAGGTGCCCTATTGATTAAAAGTTTGAGTATTTGACTATATTTAAGTTTATTCTTTATGCAGATGATAGTGCAATTTTATATTCACATAAAGATCCAGATGTTATTTGTAATGTTTTGGGTAAGGAATTAGAAAATTGTAGTAAATGGCTTGTTGATAATAAGCTATCATTACATCTTGGTAAAACAGAATGTATTGTTTTTAGTTCTAAGAGGAAATTGTCAAAACTAGAGCAGTTTAAAATACACTGTAATAATCACACCATACAATCTCAGCCATCAGTAAAGTATCTCGGTTCTATCTTGGATAATGATCTCTCAGCCACTTCTATTGTTGATAATATAGTACAAAAAGTAAACTCTCGATTAAAATTTTTGTACAGACAAGGCAACAGTTTGAATATGGAGCTAAGAAAACTATTATGTAACTCTTTAATACAGTGTCACTTCGATTATGCCAGCTCATCTTGGTATAGTGGCCTTACTAAACAACTTAAACATAAACTTCAAGTAGCACAAAACAAAGTTGTTCGTTATATTCATGGTTATTCCTCTAGAAAATCATTGAAAGTTATTGATTTTAGCAGTATTGGGTGGCTTAATATAGAAAATAGAGTCATGCAGTTAAGACTTAATCATGTACACAAAATATTTAATAAAAAGTGTCCATCTTATATGTATGATAACTTTTCTTTAAAGTCTGATGTTCATTGTTATAATAGTAGAAACAGTATCGGGAACTTTTCATATACCCCATGTTAATAGTTTTACAAAAAGTACATTTTTTTACCAGGGTATTAGGGATTCGAACATGCTCCCACTTGATATTAAAAAGGAAAGTAACTTTTTTAACTTTAAAAAGAAAGTAAAAGCTGAACTAAGCAAAAATATGAAACAATTTGAACAAGCTGATTTTATTTTTTATTAGTTTTAGAGATAATTGTTTTAATCAATATAGTATGTTTTATAATATTATGGTATCTTGTGATTGGTTTTTGTGATATATATAAATAGATATCTTTCATTGGTGTGTTAACTAGTCATATTCATAGTATTATTCCTGCAAATATGTGATATATGTAATTAACATAATGTGCAATAGAAATTAATATTATTTGATCTTAGAAATTTAACATCAGTCCAGTATATCATCTCTAAGTATGGACCTGAATGCCAGTTCTCAAGAAAATATATTCTTTACCATCAAAGGACCCCATTGGAAATAAGTTCTCTATTTTATATTGAACTTTCATGGGTTATCCTGTGTTGTATATATTGTCTTGAAGTCAACAAGATCTTTGATTTAATTATGAATGTAAAGTTATTATTTTTCAATTAATTACTGTGTTAAAAACAATGTGATAGATAACTGTGATAAATTGTCTTAATTTGTTTTGTAATATGACATATATATATATATACAAATAAATCAATCAATCAATTAAGTTCTTGAGAAAAGACAACAGCAAAACGGCTATACTTATTTTTCAAAACAAGCTAAAAATATGAAAAAGAAAACCTGCATACCTCATAGATTTTCAATTTGACATGAAATATCCAGTACCAGTATAACAGTTGTCATCATTGCTACAATAACACGCGCTAAAACATTAAAGTAACAATGAACAAGATTCAATGGCAATGTCAAACAGATGCCATTCTCAACTTCCTCTTATTTTCAAAGTCAAACATTTCTAAGGAAATACATGAAAGCAACAACATGACTGAGACTTTGTGACTGTTATCAAGGTGAAGTGCATGCTATCTACACTTTCTTAGTAACCTTTAGCCACATTTCACGTTTCCTGTTAGTAAAGTTGGTAATACTAGTTAGTTTGTAAATCTCCCATTTGTAGTTAAATGTCTATATATCCACAAGTTTAATTATGTTCTAAATTTGTAATGACATCATCAAACAATTTTGCTCTCTCTACATAAAAGAAACATTTATTCAGTTTTGAAGCCTTGTGTGTCAATTTTTCAAAAAAAGAACAAACCAGCTGAGGAAATTTTAATTTTAAAGCTTTAAGGATTGACTTTTTGGCAGAAAAAAAGTTTTGTGATACCATAACTTTGATATTTGAGGCTTTATCCCTTAATGATAACCATAAATTTCATTTTATTGTGACTGCCATAGCCATTTGTGTAACTGGAAATCAGGATTGTTTTTTTTTTTTCAAAAACTTTTTACTGTATACAGTAAAAGTGTGTATATCAGAAAATTCTATAAAGATTTCAAACATATGAATTACAGTATTTTCCAATCCTGATTTTTAACTAACAAAACTATGCATCTGACAAGTTTTGATAACAGTAAAAGAAAAAGGAAACTTACCGAATGCTTTGGTAAAAATTTCACCAAGTGTACTTTCATATTCATCCATGATGTCTACACATTCTTCATGCTTGGCTTCATTCTTCAGCATTATTGGTAATTGATACACATGAGATTTCTGACTCATTTGTGTATGGTATGGGTGATAGATGTGAGCTGGAAGCACAGGTTTTAACCAACTGAATGCTTTCAACTCTGATAACATCCTTCCTAAATACATTAAGCCATCAATGTTATATTTCACGTGGCTGTGAAATTTCCAAAGAAAAATAAATAAATAAATGTTATTTAAGAAATAATATATCCCAAACTGTGATTTTATCGCTCAATAACATCACTGTTTGGAGTTCGGATGCGAGGAATTATATCATGAGGGCGTAGCCAGAGTGATATAATGATGCGCATCTGAACGACAAACAGTGATGTTACCCAGCGATAAAACACTTTTGCTTTCAAAACGTTTTCGGTTACAATTAAAACAAAAATTTACCATTAAATTTTTTATTATAAATTGATCACTGGCTCATTATGTATAATTTTCAAAAAGAAAGTATGCAAATTACATAGATATCTTAAAAAGCTTACCGGACCAGACATGCTCTTGACTGAGCCCAAACACCCTTTCCCTCCGGTCAATCCAAATAAATTGCTGAGAATCAGCTTCATCACATGGACAGGAGGGGAATGATATGGCTCCCCTATTCATCTCATAAATGGTTATTGTTGCCTTCAAGGCACCAGCAATCAACATGTACGTAATTGGACCTGTAAA